TCAAATAGACAGGCTTAAATCTAGAGTTCCTTTCAAACATACTTCTTTTTTCTGGCTTGACTAAATTGTTATTTGTAAATGTATTCAAATCTCCTTCATTCCTCGGACGCGTGGGAAAGCCAGACAGGGTGCTGACAGAGGGCTCATAATTGCTGCGGTCTAGCCAAGACAGCATTAGCGCCTGGGTTTTGACAGCATTGTCTGTTGGTTCTCATGAATTCAGCTTTCGTGCGGGATGTGACAGCCCAGGAAAAGAGAGAATCCTGCAGCTCCACCTTTCCCTCTGCCCACTGTGAAAGTTACCTGATTTTTTTCCACACGCTAATTAAATCCTTGAAGGTCTTCTTTCAGCAGTGAGTAATCTACTACCCATTTGGAACTTGGTTCTGTTCTTAAAGGTCTGAAACATTCTTATCGTTAATCCAGGCCAATACTTTGTTAATTATGGCTATGTCTGAGAAGATCATCTTGGTTGCTACTATATCAGCAAGACAAACTGAAGAAATATGTGATGAAAGACACACACCTTTTACAATTTTCCATCTCGATAAAGTGTTTCTCAGGCCTCACCCTAAATTCTTACCATAGGTGGTTACGCAATGTCAGTGAATAAAATGATCCATTTACTGGTTTTCTTCCTTGAGCTTCTTTCAGGGAAGGGAGAAGCCAGGTTGTGTACTCCCTGGATTTAGAAGGTGTTAGCTTCTCACTTGCAAACAACTTTGAGACTTCCTGAAAAGTGCTTGTAGTAATCGCCAAAACACTAGTGAGTCATCAAATTTTAGTTCGAAGTCTATATGATCAAGTTTAAATTCTACTGGGATTTGTTCCAACACAGCACAATTAGATCCCTTCCCATTTTCAGTTGGTAGCAGGCAAGGGCTCGTCCTTGTACGCTGAAGCTGCTAATGGGGCTCTTTTGCATGTGTCATTACTTCTGACTGCTATGAAATAGCCACCTGATGATCAGTTCAGGTTTCCATTGAGCACTTTCCATGACAAAAGCACCAATATTAGACAAAATTACCTTTTCATCTGTGGTGTTTTTTTTCCTCTGGAGAGTACCCCAACCTCTTTAGCTGCCTCCCAGCACCTCCTTAGTTTAGCTCACAGATTACGAATTGTGTGCATCGTGGTTCCTTATGTGCAATATTTTTTGCTCAAGTACTATTTATTGACAAGCACCTCCCAAGAAGTTATTTACCTGCACACCATTTGGAGTGTTTTGCTGTGTGTTGCCCCCTGCCGACTGTCCCCCAGATGGTTCTATAACATTTGGATTTTATAGAGTTAGGACACTTTTTGCACTTCTTGTGTGGAACACGTGAACTAGCACATCCAGATACAGGAAATGCTAGTCCTGAAACAGTGCAGCTCAGAAAATCCTTTCATTGCATGAACTTATAGAAAAAGAAACTCCATGGATACAACATACAAGGCAAACAGAATTCTTCAGGGTAGTTCAGCAACTCTTCTTTTACTCTTTTTCTTTATCTCATTATCTCTCATTTTTTCTTTCTTTTATGTCCTCATTCTACCATGCACAGATCACCTGGGCTCCATGCCATTGGTGTTACCTTTCTTGTCAATCCCCTTGCCACATCTCCTCAGAGCTTTTTATGGATTCCTCCTCTGTCAGTGTCAGGTTTAAGACCTGCCAAGTTGCATAACCCCAAGCGTGCCTCTGTTTTTCCAGAGTCTCTTGCTCCACCCCGTGCTAATTCCACACATTCCACCCAGCCTTCCCCTCTGACCACTCCCTTCCTCTCTCTTTTTCTCCTTGCCTTAATATCTTCTTTCATGCCTTCACCACCCACTCAGAGCAGCAGCGGCCTCCCACCCAACATCAGCTATGTGTCCTCCCGCTCCCCTCTCAAAACAAAGCAGGAGGGCTGCAGAGCCCATCTGCTCCCTGAATCATCCTGGCTGTGACGGACACTTTCCATCTGGCCTAGCTCACTGCTGTACTGACTGTGGTTTGGAAGTTTAAAGTGCACCCATCTGAGCCAAACCCTGCTGAAAAAAACAGCAGGACTCACGCTGTTGAATTCAGGGCGCTTTGAATCAGGCCATAAATCATCTGAGGCCAACACGCTCTATTTCAGTGGGAGTGTTTTTCTTTCCTGTTCTACAGTGTAATGTACTGACACATCTTAAGTGTTGCATCAAATGCAGGTACCTAAGCCACAGATTGGTGCTTTTCCTGGACATACTGTCTATTTCTTTACACAGCAACCTGCAGATAAAAATAGTTTCTGGGGTTTGTATGACATTGAAGGCTAATTTTTGCCCCCAAATGTATGTGTTGCCAGGAAGATCACTGACGCTGCATTCAGCTTGCAAGCTGTTTCTCCTGTATATGCAAACATGCAAAGCTCTCACTCATATCGACTGGATAATATGTCCAAATGATTTGTTAACGAGACCCCAACCATGCTGTTGTAGAAGCACTAACCACACTGAAATCTGTAATCAAACCCTTAGAAAAATTGCTGAAAATACTTTCTTCTCAATACACATTCATATATAAAATTAATCAACAGTAGTGACATAAAATCATAGAACAGCTTCTGTCGGAAGGGACCTTAAGGCTCATCTAGTTCCAACCCCTCACCACGGGCAGGGGCACCTTCCACTAGATCAGGTTGCTCTGTCCAAATGTCCAGTATTCATGAATTAAACCGATATTTGTACTAATACTTTTTTGACACATGTGTAACATGATGTGTTGTAAATATATACTTACAACTATATGTACACAGAAATCACACATGTATTTAAGGAACAAATGTTGCAGCAAATGCATATCTTGCGTGTATGAAGGAGTTTATTGACTTCACTTATTTTCCTCCTGCTTAAAAAAGCTTCCTAACTTAGGGACAAGCTAATAAACTTGAGTTTTAGTATGAGCTGATTTAGTATTCCATCATTATTTCTTGACTTAAGTGCAAAATATGGCCTTAATGCAACCTTTAGCACAACGCCCAGATCACTATATGAGCAGGTAAGAGGTCACTGGACTCCAGATGCCTGGTGCAGCTGGTTGCCCGTGCCCCGGAAAAGTCTGTGGCAAGAGCTCCAGCATGTGAGTGTGACAATAGAAAAGATTATTGTAGTGGTTTACACACCCCTTCAAATAAGGCCTTCCAGTTCCTCCTCTCCCAATGGATTCCCACTTACTGTCTCACTTCCCCTGGGTGCAGTCGTATTTGTTGGAGAGAAACCACCAAGGCACCTGAGATCATGAGGGCATGGAGCCCAGGCTGACCTGTCCAGGCTGAAGGCAGCATGGAAAGCTCCCCAGAAGCTTCTTTATTCAGGCATTTTGGGGTTTGTTTCAATAATTACAGTGGAACAAAACATTGGCTCTTGTTTCTCTGGTGTAATACCCCAGGCAAGTCTCCCCAAGAGCTCAGTGTAAAACCAGCCTTGCTGTTATTCTGGCTAACCAGAAAATGGCACCATCCCACCTCCTGGGTGAGGCAAGGAAGCCAAAATAGCAGCCGAGGGCAGGTCCAGAACATCATCTTCATGCCAAGGAAGATTTCTTTGCCACAGATTTCAGGTGGCAATTTCTGTTGCAACTAGCTCCACGAACACAGATTTTCGTAGTGCTCCCAACCAAAATATATAAAGTACTGAAAGTATTTAAAAACAATAGTAAACTATATTAAACTGTGCTCAGCAAGAAAAACAAGAAATACTTCCTTCATGCAGAGAAGGGAACTAAAGGAACAGTAAGAATGCTGGCTTTTGCATTTAATTAGCTTCATATTTCTGTTTTAGACTAGGTCTAATCCTCAGGTTTAGAAATGTTTCCAGCAGGTGCTTGTAGACAGAAAATGGCCCACACTGGAAAAATGCAGCACAGGATCAAGAATAACTGCAATAAGCTGTACTTTTTGTGTTTCTGATAACTCCGCTGTATTTAAATGTGATTTATTAATACACTGATTTATTTTTCTTTTTTTACAATAGTTCCTCTTTCTGATAATGAAAAGCAGTTTTCTGATGGCAATTTAAAGGTCACAACTGGGCAAAATGTTACACTTTTGTATGATACATATTTTTGGCACCTAACTTTGCCGTTACTAACATTTATGGAGGAAAACCAGCAACCCTGGGAATGCTTATTTCCTGGAGGCATACATACTTCTATTGCAAATATCACTCAAGTATGTTTCTGGGGTGAACATACTTTAACTTTTTGCAGGTTCCTCTGCAGGGTCATGTATTTCACCAAAATTATATGAACACAAACATCCTCTGGTATGGGTAATTAGAGTGAGGGGAAAAAAAAGATGAGACTATTCCTTCATGCTCAAATTTAAATCAAATACAAAGAAGATAATGACATTTGGGGAGAAGAACTGATTAAAGATCTATTTTTATTTTTTTTTTAATCTCTAAGCAGTGTTATGCTACAGGCCTGATAACATCATGGTGTGGGTGGCCACGTAGTGCCTTAAAACACAGATTTGCCTCCGAGTGTAAATATGGGTGTTTAATAACCTTTGCACTGTGTGGACATACACAGATAGGAATACAACAGGGCTGTGAAGCAAGAGGAGAAGGAGATCTGAGAAATATGGATAGGTATCAGGGAGAAAAAAAATCCCTTGAATACCCCTCTAAAAATCTTCTAAAATCTGATTTTCCAAACAGGCTATTTCACTACAGCCAAACCTGTATGGAACAATGCAACTTGTTTTCTGCTTCTTAAAGACTTAAGTTTTCTGCTGTCTCTGAAAGTTATCACGGGTAATTCATCATATATTCTGGATCACAAAGGTACTCTTCGACATAAATTCAGTCTGAAATAGATGGCTAGTGCTTGATGTCTAATAAGCATAGAAGAGTACAAATGTGCAAAGTATGTTGCATTATGCAATGATACCCATAATATTTTCCCCTCCTAATGGATTCCTTAATTGGGTATTCTGAGCACTATGTTTAAATCTCATCATTTTAATAATGCTTTTTTATGTTTTCCAATTTACCTTGTAGTAAATTAATGCCCTTCAGATGAGGTTTCTAAAATCCAATGACAGCTGCTCAGCCAGTGTACTTTTAATTCACAAGAATGAGGTTTCACCTAAAGTCAAATGGAACACAAAGACAGAACATTAAATGTAAAACCTGAGATAAAAATCAACAATTAAGAATCAATTTGCCTATCTTAAACTTGTTTCCCTAATACATTTGCATTAGGATCCAGTTTCTGATTATGTTACCATGCATGCTCTTGTTTTCCACATGATCTCAAACTTCATTGAAATAAACAGCCTGGCTTTTGTGAAACAGAATTTAAGGAGGACGTCTTTAAGGGAGTGTTTACAAGTATTTAGAGACAAAGCTGCTAATCATGTGTTTGGTGCCGCCCCTGAGCACAGAGATGCCAAAATGTGGGTGCATGTGGTGTCAGTGCTTAGGATTACATGGTTGACTGTTTAAAGAGAAGTGATAGTTAAGACTTCCAGTGTAAAATTGTCAGTGTGCATGTTCAGTCCACAAATCATAGAATCACAGAATGGTTTGGATTGTAAGGGATCTTAAAGATCATCTAGTTCCACCCCCCTGCCATGGAAACACCTTCCACTAGACCAGGTTGCTCAAAGCCTTGTCCAACCTGACCTTGAACGATTCTAGCCACCATTTCTCTGGGCAACTTGTTCCAGTGTCTCACCACCCTCACAGTAAAGAATTTCTTCCTAGTAGCTAATCTAAATCTACCTTCTTTCAACTTGAATCCATTCCCCCTTGTCCTGTCACTACCTACCCTTGTAAAATGTCCCTCTCCAGATTTCTTGTAGATCCCTTTTAGGTACTGGAAGCTGCTCTAAGGTCTCCCCGGAGCCTTCTCCAGGCTGAACAACCACAACTCACTCAGCCTGTCTTCATGGGAGAGGTGCTCCAGCCCTCTGAGCATCTTCAACTAAGACACAGCATGAAGAAAGCAAGTTTGCCCCATAGGTCCAGGCAAGCACTTCTCTTCTTGTGCTTCCTCCATACATCTATGCTGGATGCACCTCATCACTGTTCTCCTCTCCCCTACATTTGAGGGGCATGGCATGAATCCAAAAGGTGGCAGATGCAGCATGTTTCTGGTGACTTGCTGGGACAAAATGGAGACAAATGGAGATGCAGAGTGTGAGCTGGTGGCTGCTGGTGGCCACCAGCTGGTGACTTGAGTTATTGAACCAATAGTTACCCACATATCTTTATTACTAGACATTGACATGGAGCTCAGGTTTATCATGGAATTTAAAGTTCTGCAAAAAAATCTCATTGAAATGGCTAGAACTGTAACAAATGGAAAACTTTTGAGCACTCTTCATATTTTTTATAATAGTGTGATGCAAAATCAACTGAAAAAAATCCAGATAAAACCCAGTGCTCTTGCCATTTTCCCCACTAGATTACCTTCCTTTGCACACTCTTCAGAACTTAAGAAAAGCCTGGAATTTCCTCCTTTAGCCATGCCATTGCTCCTTACATTAACTGTAAGCCTACCGGGTCCACATGGAAAGAATTAATCTAGAAAATGTTCTGTATGTCCCAGCTGCAGTAAAAAATTAAACAAGTCTGTAATAAATGAGCCCACTGCAGCTTAAGAGGACAGCAGGTCTGCTGCAGTATGAAGCTTTATTCGCTTCTGGGGGAGTGAGAGAAACTGTCTAATTTTGGAAAGGCACAGAACCAATCAGTCTGATTTCAGCCCAGTGAATCTCTGCCTTCTGCCCTTCCTCCTGCTCCCCTGCAAGCTGCTATCAGCAAGCCGCACTGCCACAGAGGTCTCTTCTGTAGAGCATGTATGGTGCATGGCTTTCTTCCTCACAGTAACTGAAGACAAGGGTTCGAAACTGTAGGGAAAAGTTAACTGAAATCATTAAGCTTAACATTAACCTCTTTTCAGGTATCTGCTAATATTTCAGGTAACTGTAGTAACTGCAGGTACTATTATGAATCCTATGGAAACCCCAGATGTCAAAGAGACAGACCACCTGCCATTAACTTGCAGAATCATTAACCTGCACAGAGTTAAACCAGAAAATTCCCAAGCGATGTGTTATGTTTCCACCCTGGTTTACTCAGCTGCTCTCCTTCATTCAATATGTCAGGGGAGCACCTGATTTTGAGATTAATTAGTAATTAAGAGGTTGTTCAAAACCATCACAAGTTCAGAGAAGAAAGCAACTTACTCATGTTAGAAAATAGTGAGAAATATAAATTCCAGTCTCCTGGGATTTTCCTTTGAGCAGGAAGTTTAAATAACTCTATTTTGAACATACCAAACTGACCCCATTAACTAGATGTAATAAACAAATGCAGATATTTAAGCTGACATTTGAGCAGTGTCAAAGCCTTCTAAGCTTGTTCTGAGTGGATTAGTAGATAAGTGCTAGCATTCCTATTCTGGGATATGTTCCAAGGCAAGCATGAGGACTGATAATTTTATTTAACTCCAAGGTGGACAAACACTCTATATTTAAATAATGCAAATCATTTGTGTAATACTTATGACAGGCTACCAGTTGATGCTGATGGTGTTGGGATATAAAAACCTCTCTGCTTGTCACTGTATCTGAGGGCAAAATCTGCTTTTCCTCTACCATTCAATCAGTAAGGGAAACCATGATTAGCAGCATGGGGCATGTAGTTTTCTCAGAAACACATAGTGCATCTCACCTGATCTCATCCCAGAAAAAAATGATTTAATTTTTTTTTTAAACAAAGGATATCATTAGATGGTTCATAGGATCTGTAAGATATTTGTAGACTTAAGTGACATATTGGCAAATGAATTCAGAGCCAGCTCATGTCCCAACAGTATTGACAAATCTGCAAGTAATTTGGTAGGTTGTTTGGAGAATCTTGCCAACTATTGCTACTCATTCAGTTTTGCTGTATCTGCCAATAACAAGTGATAACAAGTCCACAAGGCTATTTTCAAAAAAGATCTTAAATGTCTGCCTGAATGCCTCCTTATTCAGCAGAATACATGCATAAATCTCCAGTATGTTCAGAGGTTCTGACTTCAATCCAATTCCACTGCTCAACAGTACAGAGGAGAATCCCTCTAATGCGATTACCTTGTAGGACATAAATTGAGGGAAATCTTCCAAACTGAGCTTATAAAACAAGAACACTAGGCCTTGGTTATCAGGACTCTAAACCTCTAAATTAATGATTGTTCTGTTACTCCTTTCTGTGTGACTGTGAAAAGAAATAAAAGCAAGCTTTATCTTCAGCATTAAACCAGCAATCCTATTGTGCCTATTATGCAGGCAATGTTGAAAAATTTTCAGGTTTTATCCTCACCTATATGAAAGCCAGATCCACAAAAAGGCTTAATTATTTTAAATGGAGGTGAGTCAAAATGGTGATTAATTAATCCTAAGGCTTCAGGAGGCACCCAAGCTTTTCCCAATGAGGTTTCACACTGAACAAGCTTACACAAGCTTTGCACCTCATTATTTACCTTCCCTTTCCTTATAAATGAGGGTTGCCAGTGACATGTACAGTTATGCACATCCAGCATACTGGCAAGACAGTCTGCATGTGTAACAACAGCAGCCAGAGCCATTTGCATTTGAAAGAAAGAATTTTTGTAGCAAATCACTTCTTTCAGCTGGGCTTTAACAGCAAAGAGTAAACCAGTTGTTCATAGCCAAAGGCACAAGCTATGGTACGTGATGGGTTTAGTGCTGTGAATCCAATTGAGATTCTTTGCTGATGAAAAACCTCAGCTTGGGAGAGAGGATTTCCAATGCACCATCTCTTTGGTTCTCCCTTCTAGCAAGTTTAGACTATCTCCTGTCTGTGAGGTGACTGTGAATCCCATTCCTAGCTGCCCCACTGCGGGCCGTGTTCAGGGAAAGCAAGTGAGTGACGCAAATCTGAAATCAGTGCTGGGAGCTGGACATTTTAAAATTACATACTGACATCCTAAACTTTGCTGAAGCCTTTGTGGACCCAAGCATATGGCCTTCTTATGTCCCCTTGGAAGTGTTAAGAGATTTTGGTTACAAAGATTCAGGATCTTCACATTTACAAGTGCTATGTAATAGTTGCAGTTGAATGTAAATATTAAAAGGCATTTTATTTTTTGTGGTATATTAAAAAAACATTACGGAATCTAGGAAATTTATGACTTGCTTAAAATTTTTTTGTTATTGAGTGTCTGTTTAAAACTTGTTACCCTGCTGACAAGTCACATTTTCCAGTTCCAGAGTGACATTTGCTCCCAATCTTGTACCTGCAGTAACCTAAATGTGACTTTGAGGCCCTCAGTTCCATCAAGTGCACAAACACAGCACACAGACCTCATCCTGCTTCTTCCTGACCTTCACATCTGTGATGCGGAGCAAACCATCATCACCTTTTAAATGCCTAGCATGACTTATTTCAGTAAACTGATTTCTACATGGACTTGAAAGTATCATTAAAATTTGGTGCCAGAATAATTTCAGTCTTATACCACATCTGTATGAAACTGGGAATTTGCCTCACTTTGTGTTAGGTGTCTACCACACTGGTAGAGAGCTAGGTGTCTAATGTACCATCATAGCCGGTGGTGATCAGTTCAGTACAGTAGGGGGAGCCTAGGGAGCAATTAGTTTCATTATAGACACCTTCATTTGATCATTTGACCTTTTGATACCGCCCAGAAAGCCAACCTTGTGCTGGTTTGCATCAAAATGAGCATGACCAGCAGGTTGAGAGAGGTGATTCTCCCCCTCTGCTTTTGTGAGACCCCACCAGCAGTGCTGCATTCAGCTCTGGGACTCCCAACACAAGGGGGATGTGGACCTGTTGGCGTGAGTCCAGAGGCAGCCATGAAAATGGTCAGAGGACTGCAGCACCTCTGCTATGAAAACAACCTGAGAAAGATGGGCTGAAAAAGGCTCAGGGGTGACCTTAGAGCAGCCTTCCAGTGCCTAAAAGGGGCCTACAAGAAATCTGGAGAGAGACTTTTTACAAGGGCATGTAGTGACAGGACAAGGGGGCATAGCTTTAAACTGAAAGAGAGGAGATGTAGATTATATATAAGGAAGGAATTCTTCACCATGAGGGTGGTGAGGCACTGGCACAGGTTGCCCAGAGAAGCTGTGGCCGCCCCAACCCTGTCAGTGTCCAAGGCCAGGTTGGACAGGGCTCCGAGCAACCTGATCTAGTGGAATGTGTCCCTGCCCATGGCAGGGGGTTGGAACTGGATGACTTTACTGGATGACCTTTAAGGTCCCTCCCAACCCAAACGATTCTATGATTCTGCGATCATATGTAAAACTCTGCAGACTCTACTGTCTGTTATTGACCACATTCCCATTAGCTGTAATGAGAACTCGCAGCTCCTAAGCAGGCACTTACCTCACGGACTCCCAAAATTAGGGTGAGCCTTGGGTGCCGCAGTTTTCCACAGCATGAAGAGTCAGCCTTCCCTTAGGTACCTACAAATTTCACATTTAAACTGTATTTATAGGGATAGAAGCAATTACCTATGATACATGACAAGTAAAGCATACTTTATCCCTGCACAGCTACACCTCAGCTTTGAAGCACCCTTCCCTCCGCCTCAGGGACTGGCACACACGAGCTGCCCCAGCCTTACCTTTACTTAATTAAGGGAATATATACGCTCTACATGGGATCTTGTAGGCTTCGTCCTGCGGCGCTGAGGTGAGGTGACAGCGGCCCCGCCGAGCGGGCGGGGTGGGGGGGGGGGGACGAGGCGACGGGAGGATGGCGGAGCCCCTCCTGGCGGGCCCGGCAGGGGGCGCCGTCCGCTCGCCTGACTGCTGCGTTTGTCCCCTCGCGGCCTCCGTCCCCGTCCCGGTGTGGTTCCTCGGGGTCTGCCCGGCCTCTGGGGGTTCCGCCAGCGGCACCGGCCGCGGCTGAACCTGGCTGGGCCGGGCCTGGCCTGGCCTTGCCGCCATGTTCACCAGCACCGGCTCTAACGGGCTCTGTGAGTACCGGGGAGGACGGAGCTGGGGGAGGGAGGCGGTGAGGGGTGTGTCGGCGTCTCCCCCGCGGCGGGTGGCCCGGCCCCCTCCGCCGGGGACGGGGTCGAGTTGCCGGGGAGGGGGCGCCCAGTCTGGGCGCGGTGCTGCCGCTGCTGCCTCACCCGGGAGAGCCTCTCCCCGTTCCTGTCACAGGCCGCCTGCCCTCGGTTTCACTTTAAAACTCGGGGTTTACCGCGTGTCCCACTAGGAGGAGCCGCCCCCGGCGGTACTGCAGAAGGAGGAGACCTCTGAGGGCTCCGCTTTACGGGCAGCGCTCAGTGGTCCGCCCGGCTGGTGGCAAGAAGTGGGGGTCGGTCTCTTCTCCCAAGTAACAAGTGATAGGACAAGAGATAACGGCTTCAAGCTGCACCAGAGGAAGTTTACATTATATATTAGGAAAAATCTCTTCACCGAGAGAGTGGTCAGGAATTGTAGCAGGCTGCCCAGGGCAGTGGTGGAATCACCGTCCCTGGAAGAGTTCAAAAACCGTGTAGATGAGGCCCTCAGTGACATGGTTTAGTGCTGGACTTGGCAGTCCTGGAGTAAAGGTTGATCTCGATGATCTTAAAGGTTTCTTTCCAACCTATTTGATTCCATGATTCTGTGATTCAAGGGGCTGTGCCTGGACGTAGTGGTCCCAGGACAGCTTCCTGCCATGTTTGTGTGGGTATGTGTATGTGTCTACACAGATACAGATCTACATGACTAGGTATGCACTGGACAGGAGAAATAGCTCTTAGTGGTAAAAGAGCTGTGTGTTTGTGGGTAAATGTATCTACATATATAGATACAGCTCTACCTGCCTAGGTACATATCAGAGAGCTATAACTCATTTTTTTTAAGAAAAAAGAAAATCATCGTTTAAACCAGTTTATTGATCAGACAGGTTTAAGGACAAATGCATTCCTAGCTCTGTTGAACTTTAGATTTACATTCACCACATGTAAATCATTTCATATCCCAGTGCTACCTGAACAAACCTGGCAAGCTTGGAGGGTTGCTTCTGAGCCTGCTTGCAGGACAAAAAATCTGCCACATTTAGAAATGGCGATGAAGAACCAAACCAGCTGCACTGTGGACTTTGGCTCTACAGTCCTCAGAGCAGGCTGGGACAAACGATAAGTCAAAACTTTGCTTAACTGCATGCTTCACGCAAAAGTCCAGACTGCGTGTGAAAGCACCTCTGACTAGGGATGAATAGAGCTGGCATTTCAGAAGGGGTATTAGTTGTAACTGTGTTCTCTGTAAGGCATTTAAAGAAGGGGGAGTATTTTTGCAGATGCTAGCACTATACTTGAGTCACAGTTCCTGATTTTTTTTCATTTTTCACCCCAACAATAGGTACTATAGAACAACAGCTTTTTGGTGGCATATGTCGATATAATTCTATGAGAAAGAAGGAAAATAACCTTGTTTGGCTGAATGGGTGGAAAGTGACAGTCAGTATTGAAATGTTTTCCCAAAATAGGTCCATCAGAAGGATGCGTGGAAAATTGCAGTCATAAGAAACATATTTGTGCTAGGAGAATAAACTAGACAAGATGCCATTCTGCAAAAAGTAAATGTTTTAACTTTTTTTCCTCATAGAATCACAGAATGGTTTGGGTTAGAAAGGACCCTCAGAGATCATCTTGTTTCAACCCCCCTGCCGTGGGAGCACCTTCCACTAGACCAGGTTGTGCAAAGCCTCATCCAACCTGGCCTTGAACACTTCCAGGGATGCGACATCCACAGCTGCTCTGGGCAGCCTGTTCCAGTGTCTCACCACCTTTACAGTGAAAATTTTTTCCCCAATATCTAATCTAAATCTACCCTTTTCCAGTTTAAAACCATTACCCCTTGTCCTATCACTCTTAGTGTACTTACCTGTTGACCTACAGTGATTTTTCACAATAAGACTTGGCTGGTTCAGGTTCACTGACAGACTCTAGTAGAGGCACAGTTTTAGGTGGCAGTGACATACACTCATTTAGTGCACACTCTGGCAGTGTAAGATGGCCTTCAGACTTTTGTTTCTACCTCTGTACCTGAAGCATCTGTTGCAGTAGCAGCAGGTTTGTGGGATGTGCAGATGTGCAGGATCTGGTGGTTTAGGCAGTTAATGAAGCAGTGCGTGATGTTGCATCAGGGTTGGGTACATGTGTGTCCATGTTCAGTTTTGCCCCTGGGCCTTGTAAGTTTGATTGCTTCTATTTAAATTAGACTTGCTTGTAAGCAATTCTGGAATAGCTGGACCTGAGTAGCAAAGTCCTTGACCTTGTCCATGTGCCTTTTAAGGAGATGTTTCATGACTTTGGGCGCTGCAGTTGAGTTCTTAAATAAAGTGTTTTTCTGGTATTTCATATCCTAGTTGGGTAGTCCTGGTATAAATCCTTTGTGTTACTTCTTCTGTTCGGTACTGTTTAAAATCACGTTCATAGGCAGAGAGGTTCTTGAAAAGTGATGTTATAAGAGATGTGGATAGAACCAACCCCCTCCAGCAACAGTCCAACCTTGGGTGAATATGAGCTGGTTCAGACAAGTAGGTCCTTTGCTAGGAGTGACGTGCTGCATTCCAGGCAGGCAGTATTAGGTGTAGCAGATGATGACTGTGTTGGAAGTTGATAACACACCTACTCAGGACATGACACGCACAGTTTTGGATGCAGAGATATAGAAATATACATACCTGGTACATATTACAACTATGAGATATGGAAGTTGGGGAAACAAGGAAGAATACCATTTAAAAGGACAAAGACAGTTTGCCCTTGTTAAGGAAACTATTTCTGTAATCTGGAGTATTGGAGGAGCTGATAACGCCCTAGCAAAAATAAGGCCGATTACTCTGGGTAGTAGGAAGCACAGCATAGGCATGCTCAAATGACTTAGCAAAACGCTGACCTGGTTGAGTTGGCTTGTAAAACAGCATTGCAGCATGTTCAGAAAGCATGTGGCAGCACCTGCCTTAAGGGAAGGAAGGGCTTGAGAGGTCGGCTGTGGTGTTGGGCCTAGAATGGTTTCTTGTGTTGCAGTCTGCCAGCAACCTGAGTCCGATGAAGAATGCTGCTGAAACACCTCAGTGGTTCTGCAGAGGCTAGTGTGAGTGCATGAAGACTGATGCTGGGCTGGCTGTTTGATTTACTGTAATACTGCTTAGCTGTGTTTGGTGCTTGTTCACCAAGGAGCAATGATATGCAGAAGGCTTTTTGTTATAAGACACCAAGGCCTTTCCAGCAACTTAAAACTGTAAGACCAACACCTAACTTTTCTGCAGACATTGTAATATCCCCTCCTAGTATTTTTTTCTGCTACGTGCAATACTGCACAAGTACCTTAGGAAGCCTGTTAGAGCTTATTATAGTAAAATTTGAGTCTACGTTTTAAAGCCACTTCCTACATCTGGAAAATATTTTACTATTTTGCCTACTACACACAAGCTACTTCTTGTAGTAGTATGGAGTAGAGTCCTTTGAACTTGAGTGCAAGCATTTCTGCTAATGCAACTTACGCTTTCACCTTTGCGTGAACCTTGTAGTGCAGTGCTGGCAATTTGTTACAGATCCCCAAGGCAAGAAGGGAACGCTGTGCTCCTCTGCTTGCATAAACTACAAGACTGAACTGTGCTGTGTGTGGGCCTCAGGAAAATAACAAAAGGATGTAAGCTTATGCTTTGTGGTACGACTGGAGGAGAAACCAAGTCTGTATTGAATATACCAGACCTCTGTGCATAACAATAGAACAGTACTGTATGGCAGAACAAATTAGCTTGTACATAGCATGCCACAGTGCAGCCTGGTTCAGAGTATTTGCTTGAGTCCTGGAGCAGCATAGCCACATCACTTCAATTAGCCATGCATTGAACACCACAAAAATGTGGCTATTCTGCTGCTGTTGCAGAGCTAGCTCATCTCAAGCGAGCGCTGGGGATCTCTGTGTGGTGGTGTGGTGTAGCCATACCTGATATTCCTGGCAGTGTATACTAATAGTAGTGTGGTAATATGCTCTGTGGTTGGGAGGAAGAAAAGGCTGCTCAACCAAGTGGGTGTATTTGTTAACTTCAACCTGTTTCACTTTCTATTTCTTTTTAAATGTTCCTCTTAGAAACAAAGTTTTCTTCCTTTTTTTTTTCCCTTCCCTTTTATTTTTGTAGCATCTCATTCTTCTATAGTTTGTGACCTAGGCTAAACCCAGCAGGTTTCTAAACAGTAAATGTATAGGTAACTGCTTTGACTGCTTACCAGCACCTTTTAGAAAAAGATTTAAAGCATGATAATAGTTGGTTTCTTTATCAATTTTCTTGATATATATACTAATATTATTCACCTCTTAGCTTCTGCAGTAAGTTTATAAGCATTTGATAAAAATCCGTTCCTGCGATGATACTGTTACTGTATTCACTTGCTGGCATCATGATGGTTAACCACTAGAGTATGCTATGAAGTGACAGTCTGAATGCAGTCCCCTTCCTGAGTCTGTGCCTAGACCAGGAGCAAGAGCTGCTTTCCTGACGCAGAATACTTCATATAAGATTTTCAGGAAGCAGGAATTTAACTGCTTTTGCAGGGTCCTCTTGTATTGCATGTTTT